AATTAAAAATAATAAATTAAAAATAAAAAATTAAAATTAAAAAATTAAAATTAAAAATTAAAAATAAGATTTAAAAATAAGAAATTTCTGACAGAAATATAAATCTGTCGAAAATTTCTGACGGATTTATTTTTCCGTCAGAAATTTCTGACGGAATTTTATGTCGAAAATTTTGGACGGATTTATATTTCCGTCGGAAATTTCCGACGAAAAATTTTTGACGGAAAATTTCGTCAGAAATTTCTGTCAGAAATATAAATCCGTCGGAAATTTTTGACGGAAATGTCCGTCGGAAATTTCTGACGGAAATACCCGTCGAAAATTTTTGACGGATCTATATCCGTCAAAAATTTTCCGTCGAAAATTTACATTTTTCTTGTAGTGTAGTTTCCTACCATTGAAGTGAGCAATCTCTTGAGCCTTAAGCTAGGATAGTCTAGGCTCCTTTGTTCCGAAATCTACCATCATTCAAGCCTTCTTCATTCGGTCATTATTCTTCAAAGAAGAGATCCTACGCAAGGTGAAGTCAAGGAGGAGTATATCATCCATTTCTCCTAGCTCCACCATCATTTACCCTTTAAGTGTTTGATCATATGAATGGTTTGAGGTACTTATTATATCAATGCTTAGGAAGGATGAATTATGGTAGAAAACAATTGTTAATAGGTTATGATCAATGTAAGTTGATTGTTAATGGCTTGGGGTGTTTTAATGATAATGATGTCTAAGGACTTCTTGTTTGATAGTGATAAAGTTGTCAAACTAGTTAAGCAATTGATTTAAAATCTTAATGACATCAATCTCAATGACTGTGGTTGAGGTGCTAACATATGATTAAAAAATCTCATAATGATTCTTACTTGAGGTGTATTGGATGATGTTGTATAATCATTGTATTACTTAATAACTGGTTGTAGCATGTGAGTATGCAATTGATGTGACATATTGTAAGCTATGTATGAATTTATTGATGTGCTTTGACATTAATGCATTTGATGTGTATGGATCCTGTGAGGGTCATATGATGATATGTTTGAGTGAGGATTAATCATGATATTATATGATAAGATGTGTGATGTGTTATGGTATAAGACCATGTGAATGTAATGCATAAAGTTTATTTGACATGCATCATATGCATAAAATGTTTTTAAAGGGTACGATATGGAATACACCGCAAGGAAGGTCCCTTGTACAAAAACTTAGGAACCAACCTTGGGGATAACTTGGTTTGAAAGTCTCAATCCTACCCTCATGAGCATGGAATGTGTCTTGCACAACTTAGCTATCCCGACCAGACCCTAGTAGTATGTCGTTCTAGTGAGAATGCGTAGAGAGTGTGACCCGACATGTACTCCTAGACTATTTTATGTGTATTACTAGCAACAATGCACAAGTGTGATATGTGATGTTTTTACTGATATCACATGTATGATAACATGTAGTCCATGTCCATTGCATAATGCATCTTAGTGTTATGTGGTATTTAGTTGTTATATTGTGAATGAATAGAGTATGTTATACAAATAATATGTTTATGTTATGTTGATGTATGTCTTGTTTGTGTTTGTTTGTCTAGCAACATCTTACGCCGTGAACCAGAGTGAGACGTTTCTCACTCCCCTTATTTTGTATTGCTCTTCTTATATGTTGTTGCAAGTGATCTTCAACATGATGTTGAGGATGTTAGTGGTGAGGCTTAGTCCTTATAGAAAGGTTATATGCTCTGATAAGACACGTGACACTAAGAAATTAGATAGGATTTGATTTATGTTATTTAATTTGAGTAGTTTAATTTTAATTCCTTTGTAATTTAATATTTTTGCTAAGTTCACCTGATGTTAAAATGTGATTCTTTCTATCGGTATGATTTTGAGTTTATCTATTATATTTAAGGTTATTCAATTATTCAATATATTATATGTTATGGCATGCAAGATAGAGGATGTCAAATAAAAAAATAATTGTTTGCACAGATTTTATAGAGGTCCAACTATCATTTTCAAGACTACATGGTTTATCATACAAAATCTACAAAGATTACTCACACTACAAGAAATACGATATACAAATAAATACAAATAATATTATTATATGTATATCTGGTCTTTTTGTAAAAATCTTTCTCACCACACTTTTAGGGGGCATTTGGTATGTAGGAAATAACTTTTTTCATACTCAAAAATCATGATTCACAGGAAATACAAATTTTGGGAATAGCTAAAATTTGTTTAGTTACTCATTAAGGTTCCTAGGAATGTGATTTCTAATAATTAAAAACTTTCATGTTTGATTACAATACTATATTCTTGGATATATAAATACCTTTTACAAAAATATCCTTTATTAAAATAAACTGATAAAATATATTTATTTACTCAAAATTTATTACAAATATGACATTAAACTATTTTAAAAAGTTAAAAAACATATAGTTAAATTATTTAAATATAAGATTCAATAAAGAAAATAAACAAAGACAAATGCTACATAATAATTAAGAAGGATGAAAATATATTATTTCATTTAATTCAAATAAATAAATAAGTATTAATAAATATTATTAAATTATAGAAACAAAACATATTTTATAATATTATTAAAATTGACAAGATCTAAAAATAATGAAATATAACAAATAGAGCATGAACATAGGGAAAGGGAGAGCGGAAGAGAGGGTGTGAGAGTGAGAGAGAGATTTTCTATTTTTTTTAAAAAAGATAATATGATATTTTTATTATATGTATGAAACTTTCTTCCTAATTTCGAAAAGTTAGATTTTCACCCTCTATATAAATGCTTTTATAGGAAAGTAAGATAAAAATGATTCCTAAAAAATTATATTACTAAGAATTTTTATTTTTTTGAAAATAGTTACCAAACATGGAAAACCAAAAATTTAATTTAAGATTTTTAGGAATACCCTTTAAAGTTATATTAATATGATTTATTCTTCTTAAAGTAAAAAAAAAAATAAGAATATACTTAATTTAAATTCTTAAGATTTTTAATAAATTTATTTTTTGTGGAAAAATTGATTTGATTTAAGTTGATAGTAGATGCAGTTTTACGTTTTTATTCTACATGTATATTTATTTTAAGAAATTAATTCTATATTCATTTTCAAAAAAAAAAAATCTATATGCGTGAAAATGTCTGATTTATTTTTTTCTTAAAAAATTGATCCTGATTTTATTTTCTTCAAATGTTAAATTAGTTTCTCAAACATTTAGTTTACTACTAAATAATTTTTTGAAAAAAATAATATTTTATATAATCACTTAAAGCATAATGTCATTAAAATATTTGAGCAATTATTTGATGATAAAATACTTGAAAAGATAAATACAATAAATTTGTTACATTTTGATGTAAAAATACATTTTTTAATAAAAAATATACATATATATAGACTTGAATATGTTAAATTTAGAATAAATTTATTTTTATTTTCTCAAATTTTAAAATTATTTTCTTTAGTGCTTTTATTTTCAAAAATTTTATGTTAATATCTCATATCACTAATAATATATTTAAAAGTGATAAATTAAAATAATTATGTATTATTAGTTAAATTTAATAAAATATTTTTATTAATAAAATATTAGTAGATAAATTTTACACAATTATATTTGACATATTCTCTAAAAATATATTTAAACATAAAATATAAAATATATGAAGCACAGACAATGGAAACAAAGAGCTAATTATCACTAAGTACTAAACATAATAAAATACTAATTGTTTATCCTCAATAATTTTCTAAAGAATTGAATTGAATCTTATTAGACAATGACGTTGGCTTTTTCTTCTGAGTGGACAGCATAAAAGCACAACTTAAGAGACTTAGAAAACCAAACCAAAACAAAGAGAAACAAAAGTTAAACACGAAAAATGGTGGTGAAGGTGTATGGTCCAACATATGGATCCCCAAAAAGGGTGCTGGTGTGTTTGATTGAGAAGGAAATTGAGTTTGAAACAGTGGATGTTGATCTCTTCAAGGGAGAGAATAAGGAACCCGAGTTCCTTAAGCTGCAGGTTCAAATTTTTTTCCCCATTTAATTCTTGATTTTCTGCTTTTCTGGGTTCATTTAATACTTTTTTTTGCATGGTTATGGTTAATTATACCTGTGTTTAATAACTGCAGCCATTTGGATCGGTTCCTGTTATTCAAGATGGTGATTATACTCTCTATGGTATGACACTTAGCCCTTTATTATTTTCTGCAATTTTCCTTTTGTTTCCTGTGGCATGCAGTTAAGGTTGGTGGTTTTGAACTTTTGATCTTTCTCCTTGATTTTTTTGCACCTTGTAGAGACCTTATTGATACGGGTAGTTCAAACTTTCAGTCAATAATGTTATTTTAGTTGTTGTGAGGTTAGGATTGTTCATTCTTACCCTGCAATATTATTGCCTTTCCTAATTATGATTCTTCTGCTTTAAAAGGAGGCAAAAGGGGGTTATAATTCAGTTACTCTGTGCAATTGGTATTTTTGTGGTTTGATGCATCTTGCATGTAACTACTGTAACAAACCTTGTTGGAAATATTTTGTGAAAAATATAGAAAAATTGGATATTGCAGACAAATTAAAATTAAAATTAAAGATGAAAAATTATCATTAAAAATTCATCAGAGAGGATATCTATATATAGATTTATAATTAATTTAAATTTTTTAACAAATTCATCTACTAACAATTTTATTTATTGAGGTTATATTGAATAACTAAAAATAAAATATAAAAAATAAAACTGTAACAATAACAAATATCTTATCTAAACTTTATTTAAAATTCAAAATTTAAATAAAGCAAAATCTCATAAATCTAACAAAAGGGGCAGTAAGACTTGATTTTTGTTGTGTGAAATTTCCAATACAAATTCATTCTGAAAGGCTGAATGCCTACTCCCCCAACTTTATTTTCTTTGCTATTTGCAAATGTAGGATAATCTATATTCATACTAATGCGGTGATTGTAAACCAATTTTGCAGAATCTCGTGCAATAATCAGATACTTAGCAGAGAAGTATAAAGACCAAGGGACTGACCTCTTGGGAAAGACAATAGAAGAAAAGGGTCTAGTGGAACAATGGCTTGAAGTTGAAGCTCATAACTTTCACCCACCAATCTACAAGTTAGTTATTAATCTTCTGTTTGCCCCATTAGCAGGTGCTCCTTCAGATCAAAAAGTGATAGAAGAGAGTGATCAAAATCTTGTGAAGGTGCTGGATGTGTATGAGGAGAGGCTGTCAAAGACCAAGTACTTGGCCGGTGACTTCTTCAGCCTTGCTGACCTTAGCCACCTCGCATTTGGTCATTATTTGGTGAACCAAACTGGGAGAGGGAATTTGGTAAGAGAGAGGAAGCACGTGAGTGCTTGGTGGGATGACATTAGTAACAGACCATCTTGGAAGAAGGTTCTTCAGTTATATAAGTACCCAGTCTAGAGGCTTAATTGGTTCTGCTCCAACATTCCAAGTTGGTTTGAGTTTGAGGGAAGTGCCTTCAGTGCTTGAGAATAAAATGGAGGCTATCTGCAAGATGTGGACCTGTAGTGTGTTTTTCGATTTGGATCTTTTCCACTTGAATAATGTAACATTGAATTGTGGTAAAAACAAGTTTTATCATGTATGAACTATTGTGTTTAGTTATTGGGTCCATTTGTTGTAAACCAAGGGCCTCTTGTGTTGAGAAGTAATAATATAAATATCCGTATTTACATCTTACATGTTCGAGTTTCTTGACATAAATACTAGAATTACCATCTGCAAATGATGCTTATGATTAGAGGAAATGATACAAGAGTATGCATTTAGAAAGTTGTGCTTGCCAAGTCTTCTTCGGGCAACTTCTGTTTTGGGAGTTAAGTTGTTGTGTATTAGAACTATCAAGTATCGATGTATGGTTTTAAATTTATGTAAAAGTAGCTATCTTAAGAACATAAAGATGAGTCATAATCTCATATGTCCAAGATTCGGTCTAGAAGAAAGTTAAAGGATGGAAGGAAAATGTATTATCATTTCTCAAGGCAATGGCCTAAGCCTTGTGATGAGTTGTTTCAAACTCCTGGAGTCTGTGTGGTGAATTGGAGGGAATGACCAAAGAATTCTTGATGGGGAAAAGGAGAAAAAGATGCATTGGCCATGTTGGAATAATTAGTGCAGAAAACCAAAAAGAAATATAAAAAAATAGAAGGGTTGAGCTTTAAAATTTTCAGATGCTTTAGTTATGCTAGAAAATCCCTCTGGTTTAAGGTACGAAATGGCATAAATTTTCCCAAAGGAAACATTAAATTGGATATCAACCTAGTTATTCCTGGAGAGTTGGAGGAGCATTATATAAGTTGGTGAAGCAATTGTTTTTGGCCTTAGATGATGTATTAGAACAGGTTCCTCTGTTAAAATATAGGGAAATCCAAGGTTTCCAAATCAACCAAGCTTAAGTTTGGAGTCTATGTTGTTGGAGCCTACATCCTGATTCCAAGGTTCCTCTTCTTTTTCTCTATACTCCTTTCTCTTTGGACTCTGGCCTCCACCCTCATTTTTTAGAACAGAAAAGTTGATATAACCAAAATTGAGATTCTATCTCGACTCAAAATAGGGTCACAAAATGGTAACTCGTGGACTCATAACAAGAAATGTAAGATTCTACTAAAATTATAAAATCCAAATGTATGCATATAAATTACTATATATGCATCTAACATAGTATAAATAATAAGAGGAAAAATCATCATAAGTTCATAACACATAAAATACAATTATTTAAGCTTAAATTTATAATAAAAGTATCATCAGCATAAGAAAGGCAATATCTTATATCTAAACTTCATAAAAATTTGAAATAATCAACACAACTAAAAAAGGGTTAAAATAATGCTCTGTAGTAACTGAACAACTTAAACCACCTATTTAGACCTCTAATAGACTTAGGTAGCGTTTGACACAATTTTTTTTAACTTTTTTTTTTTTCATAAAGGTAAAAGCTATGACAAACATTTTTTTTTAAAGGTTCTTACAAAAACTATCTATTCATATTATATATATATATACATACAGGGAAGGATGCACTTGTACCATTTGATACATACGTATTTTTTTATCCAAAAATAATAATATATTTAAAAATAAAATTTATATTTTAATAAAATAAATATTTATTTAAATTATCATATGTATAAAATATAAATTCGGAGGAGATATCCATTTATTTGATGTCTGTCAAACTTTCAAAAGAAATTAATTCTTATATGTGATAAAGAATACTCCTTAATAACGAATCAATTTTTTTTAAAAAAATTAATTATAATATATATATATATATTAATGCTCACTTGTATTATGTAATATATTAAAAAAAATTAATTTTTGATAAAATAAAATTTGCAGAATACATGTTTTACCTTTTGTACTTTTTATTTATTATATACGTTGATTAAAAAAATCAAAATAGCAAATATGGAAAGATTTATATTCTATTTAGAATTTTTATTATACAATATATTTTAAAATAAACTATCATCTAAAACTTTATATTAGATATTAAAAACATGTTTGTATCATAAATAAATTGAATTTGAATTTTATAAAATTTAATGTATTTGTTTTTATATTTTTATTAGTGTTAAATTATTATAAAGCAGTTCTTTAAGGTTGTAGTTCTAACCAGACATTTAAAAAATGTCTATGACAGATAAGTAATTCATACTTAAAATATGTATTTTTAAATAAAGTTAGGTTCAAACCTACTAAATTATAATATAATCTAGTCTGACATAATTTATTTTCATCTTTAATTGCAATCGCAGATATAAAAGTTTGTAAAAAGTAATTCTAAATATATTTATACTTTTAAAAGTTATATATATATATATATATAATTTTTAAAGTTTATGGTAATTTTCTTATTAATATAAAGTAATTTTTAAACTTTTAAAATATTTTAAATGATTAATTAATTCTAATATTTTTACATTAAAAAACTGTTAATAATTAATTAATTTTCCACAATTTAATTTTATAGATGTACCATTATATCTCAGGAGATTTTATTTTTTATAAAATATGTTTTCATGTTAAAAAATGAAAAATAACAAAAAAAACTCTTTTACTAATTTTTAACTCAAACTTAAAAATAACTTTTAACTAAAATATAAGTGGGGCCAAAAATATCATTACTCTATGACTCAAATACTGAATAGGTTAAGTTTGAATGGCTATATTTTTATCAAGCCCATAATGAAAATGAGACCCAAATTCTACGCCTCAACACATGATCTTCACTAACTTAATCTCAAATCATTTCCATTATTAAGCATTTAACAGATAAAATAACTTATCATTACCACTCAAAAATGTTTTTTTAAGTTTCTATGACCTCATATAGACTACACACGATGATAAGATTACTCTTATCTGATTTTCCAATTTAATAGAAACACAACATGAAATAACTAAGGAAAAATTATATACTACTAAATAATTTCTTCCCCTTTCCATATAAAAGACCAAAAATCCCCTAAATACAAATATGATGTTAAAACAAAAGGGTAAAGTAGACTAAATTATTCTAACAGTTAAATCAAGACAAACATAAACATAAGGACCAGCACAATAAAAGTTTCTAACGGCTAGATAAGCAAGCAAACTAACAATTGGACCGCCAAACAACTATTTTCATATATAGATTTTAAGCCAATTAGGTTGTTTAGTTTCAAGTTTGGGCCTAGTTGTATTGGTCTCCTCAACTGGGCCTTCTTCCTTTGGACTTAACGTATTACCCGATATCTAAAGTTATACATATGTTATTAAATTCAAATTAATTTTATTATAAAGTTAAGACAATTATTTACAAGTTATACATTGATCTCAAAGGTTGATTTTGTTAGTAAGGCCATTATGTATGGTTTTTTTGTCAAATTGTCATGGCCTACCAAGCAAAATATGACAAGCTTTCATAGGGATTACCTCACATAACACTTTATCTTTAAAATCCTCTATAGAAAACTTGACCTTCACTTGTTGATTCACCTCCAATTCCTCACCTTCATTGAGCCAATGAAGTTTATAAGGTTGAGGGTGAGGAATAGTGGTGAGGGCTAGCTTGTTAACCAACCTTGTACTACAACAATTAGAACATGATCCACTATCAACAATGAGAGAACAAGATCTTTTGGAAACTAAACATCTTGTATGAAAGATGTTCTCTCTTTGTGACAATGAAGTAGGACAAGGTTGAATTCCAAGGAGCCTTTTGACCATAAGAAGATCACCATCAACAGGATAAAGTTTTTCTATTTTCTGTTCATGATCACTAGCTTCCTCTTCACTCTCACTAGAAGATGAAGATGATGAGGACTCTTAACTGTAATTGTCTTTACCCCTTAATCTCATAGTCTTTTTGGTGGGACATTGAGAGGCAATGTGGCCTCTACCTAAACATTTAAAACATTTGATTTCACTTCTCCTTGAACTAGTGTCTGAGGTGATCTTTTTCTTTTCCACATCTTTATCATTTTCTTGACTTTTAGAGAGATTTTCTTTACAATAATTCTTGAATGAACTTCCCTCCCTCTTAAGATCTTCCTTGGTATAAGATTTAGAGTTGATATTTTTAGAAGATTTTCTAAGTTTTTGTTGCTCTACCCTTATACAAAGTTGGACCAAGTCATCAAGGTCCCTATAAGGGAGTAATTCAACTTTATCTCTTATATCAAAGTTAAGACTACTCAAGAATCTTGCTATGGTCAATCTTTCCTCTTCCCTTATTCCAACCCTCATCAAATACAACTCTATTTTTTATCTATACTCTTCCACACTCATATGTTTTTGTTGGAGTCTTTGGAGTTTTATCCATAAGCTCCCTGCTAAAATAAGAAGGAATGTGCCTTCTTCTCATAACACTCCTCAAGTCATTCCAATATTCTATGGGTGGGTCATTATAGAGTCGTCTTTCCCTAACCAAGGCTGTCCACCAATACATAGCTTGTCCTTGGAAAGCTAAGGTGGCTAAGGGAACTTTTCTTTCTTCCCTTACTTGGTGACAAGTGAAGATTTGCTCCACTTTCATTTCCCAATCCAAGTAGGCGTCCACATCCTCTTTACCATTAAAGGAAGGGAGATGAACTCGTGATTCCCTAACTTTTGGTTCTCTAATAACTCTCCTAGGGGTAGGTTGGTATTATTCATCTATGTTTAAACTTCCTACCTCTTCAAGGTTTGTGGAACTATGTGACCCTATGCTACTTTTCTTTTTTTGTTTTATTTTAGCCAAACGTTTTTCTTCTTGTTGCTTAACCGTTTGTATTTCTTCTTCAAGAATGACAAGTTGTACTTCTCTTTCAATTCTTTCCTTTTCTTTGGCAAGTACTTCTTGCTTTCTCCAAAGTTTTAGTGCCTTAAGCTCTTTAACAAGATGAGAAAAACCTTTTGGAGAGCCTAAGTCACTACCACTTTGGAAATGTTTACTCATGGTTAAGTTCCAAGAAGCTTTTTAGATTCAATGCAAAAAGAAATTGTTTTTGCATTTTCAAGGAACAAAAACCAAACACTTGGAGGTCTAAGTATACAAATTGTACTATCAAGGGAAGGGAGCTACTAAGAGCCACTTAATAATCAAGTCTTTTTAAGTGAAAATTACTAAACCCTCTTATGTTAGCTTCAATTCCACAAAACTTTAATGCTTATGTTTTCTTCAAAAATTTTCTTAAGTGGAAGCTACAAAGTAC